AAAAAAAAAAAAAAAAAAAAAAAAAAAGAAAATAAACATGAGGCATTGGTAGATAAATGGATACAACTTGAAAACATAACTGTTAAATAAGTCAGGTACAAGAGCTTAAATATCGCATGGTTTTTCTTAGGTAAATTTTATGTATATTTTACTACAGTTTTTTTAAAAAGGTTGACTTAAGGGTTCCATCCAGCAAGTACAGTGCAAGAACTTCTTTAAATCCTTAGTTAAGCACAGTTTTTTTAAAGTTTTATGGAACAGGGAAGTTGGTAATGCTGATTTAAATTTAAACATGTTAAGAATTGTTGGAAATTCTTCTAGGTATGGTAAATATATTCACAAGAGAGGTTAGCAGTCCTTTAAAAAGTTACAGCCTGGAGTTTTTACTTTGAATTGATATGATATACGGGGTTTGTTTGTTTGTTTGTTTGTTTGTTGATACCAGGGATCAAATTTAGGTCCTTGTGCTTGCCAGGCAGGCGGTGGATCCACTGAGCTAAATCCCCAGCTCGATATATGGGGTTTAGTTCAAAATAATCCAGTGAAAATTGGGGAGTAGAAGAGGATACAGAAAATGAGGCCTTCCAGGAGTGGATAATAATTATAGCTGAGTTTTGTATTATTTAATGTAATTATGTATAGTTATCATTTCAGTACCTTTTATATATGATTGAAATTTTTCACAAAAAAGTGTATTTAATTGTGTATTTTGCTATAAACTTATGATCCAAACAGCAGTTTTTCCCCATTAAGTTTATTGGTACATTTAAAGCAAACAGTACAGTTAAATTTATCATTAGGATACATGATACATCTTGGTTCTTATTTTTTCCTCATACCCTTGCTCTCCCTTCACCCCCTTTACCCTTCCCTACTTACAAAGACTTTGTTTTCCATTTTTTTGTCAAAGGGCAATTTTTTAACTTATCAGGAAGTCATAGTTTATAATAATTAGTCATTATTTCATTTACTGCAGTTGTTTTCATCACAAGTGATATAAATCTATTTGAGCAAGAAAGTTTATTTAGCAACCAATTAAACTTTTTTGGGGGGGTACCAGGGATCTAACTCAGGACCTTGCTTTTGCAAGGCAGGTATGGTGCCACTGAGCTAAATCCCTGGCCCAGTGACCAATTACCTTTAAACCCAGCTAATCCAAGATTCAGACAAAACCAGTATCCATTTTTCAGGCCTCCCAAACCAAACTGTCTCTTTAATCAGGTTCTAAATCTAACCTGTGGCAGTTTCAGTCAGTCTCTCCATGGCCTCACATTCCTGGGTGTAACATTCTCAAGTCATCAAAGTCTCCCCTGAAAATATAAGTGATCCAACATTCTAAACAGAAATCCTACAGTACCACTGACTGGCCCATCTTACGTCATGGCCCATCCTTGAAGCAGTCCTCGATGCCAGACTCAGGGAACCTGCTCACAAGCTTGGGTCCACTGTACTTGCATCAGTCACTTAGGAATAACATGACTCTTAAGCCTGATCAGCCTCTCCCTCTAAAGGTAAACTAGGGTCATCCCACTGACCCCCCACAATGAGAAGGAGGAAGAAAGATTTCTCAAAGAGGATTAAAGTTACTGCTATACAGATTTAATTCCTATATTTAAAAAATATAATATGACTCAATTCTTTTTAATTTATACATTTGTTTCACCTGAGATATGGATAGCAAAATTTAAGTAATAATTATATAAAGTGTCATGCAAATAAAACTTATAGTTAATACCTGTTTCCTGCTAGCCAGCATCCATTCCCCGCTGTATGTGTTTTCCAAAGAAGCAAAATCCCATAGGAGATATATAGCTATATTTTGAAGAATTAACTCACAAAACTGAAGGCTTCTTATCTCTCTGCAAACTGTAGACCCAGGAAAGATCAGTGTGTAATTCAATCCAAGCCCAATGGCCTGAGAATCAGGGAAGCCAGTAGTATGAATCTCAATATGAGATAGGAGAATTTGGGATGAGGTGTTATAGCAGGAAAAAGGGGGCGGCTGAATTCTCCCTCTGCTTTTTGTTGAACAGATGGGACATTGCCTGCACCCTGGAGAGGTCAGCCTACTCCATGGAGTCTGCCAGTTCATATGCTGATCTCAACTGGAAGTATTCTCATATCCAAATATAATGTTCATCTGGGAATTTTTGAGCCCAGCCAACTTTGCACTTAAAGCTGTCATGCCCTGCTTACTAGTAATAGAAATTGAATGAAACATAATGTCTGATTTTTTTCTTTTTTATTAAGATTGTAGCATCGTTTCAGCTAAAGAGTAAAGTAAAAATGTGTTTTTTATACTTAAGTGAAGTTTCAATATTAATATCTTTAAATGGTTACTTCTAAAGAATCTAAAACTTATTTCCTGAAATGTTTTATTTTCTCTTTCAGGGCTGATTTCATATACTGAGTATCTTTTCTTGCTTACAATCCTCACTAGTAAGTATGCCACAGTTCTCATAACAATCCTGGAGTTCTCTTATTTTTGCCAAATAAGATTTTTGAAGTTTGGCATATCATTTTTAAAAAATTGGTTCCTTAGTTTTTGTAAATGATAGTTTTTGATTATATTATCCGTTTAGGTCTCTACCACCTCCCACACACCATGCCACCCCCTTTGTTTCTTGAATAGAAAACTTGTTCAACAGAACAAAATCACAGCCTTCTAATGCACACAGACAGGCATGCACTCATGCACACACAGACACACCCATAGCATTCATACACAGATGTACCAACACATCCACTGGCACTCACACATACTGACATATACCAAGGGACATTAAAAACCCTCACCTGACATATACAAAATTCCTGACCAGCACTCTTCAAATGTGTGAAGGTCACAAAAACAAGGAAAGTCTGAGAGCTGTCCATAGGTGGAGTAGACGAAGGGGATATGACAGCTAAAAACAGCATGATATCTTTCTTGTATTTGATAATAAAACAGCCTTAGTGAAAAAATACAAAATCCAAATAAAGACTGTATGGCCAGGGATTTGGCTTGGTGGTTCCGCCGCCTGCCTCGCAAGCGCAAAGGCCCATGTTTGATCCCCAGTACCCAAAAAAAAAGGAAGATTCCAAAGACTGTAGTTTAGTTCTTAATCTTATACCACTGTTAATTTCTTAATCTTGACAAATGTTAGAGAAAGCAGAGTGAAAAATATATGGGGACTCTGAGTCTTTGTGATGTTTCTGTAACTCTATAATGATTACAAAATAAAGGTTAAAAAATGCTACTCTGAGGGGCTAGGGATTTAGCTCAGTGGTTCCGCTGCCTGCCTTGCAAGCACAAGGACCTGAGTTCGATCCCCGGTACTCAAAAAAAAAAAAAGCTACTATAAAAGCAGAAATAATGAAGTCACTACACAATGTACAGAGTTAAAGAAATAAGTCCTCAAATTAATTTGCATTGAAGAGGAGAGCTATGTACAGCAAGCTTCCCTGGAAAATCTGGAAAAGACGGACAGAGCCTTAACACCCTTGAAAACTGTTTGAAGAAATCACTATTTTCTCTAGTTAGGCACTTATTCATATAGTTTCTGGTGATTTATTTCAAATTTGAAGATACATCTATCTGCACATAATTTGCATTTCACTAGCATTTGAATAATTATTTTTCCTTTATTGCAGAACCCCATACTGGGTTTCATGTGGCTTTTAAAATGCTAGATACAGATGGCAATGAGATGATTGAGAAAAAGGAGTTTTTTAAGGTAAGTAGATAGATGCTAATCATTTTAGGATTATCATAAAACACATGGATGCTTGTATAATAATTTTACATTTCCATAAAAATATATTCCATTGTTTATATTAGAAATGTCAAGAAATCATTGTACATTAAAAATATTATTTCTATAATACAATCTTCAGGAAATTAACAAGTGGACAGTATAAGATTCTGAAAGTAAAAATACACTTACGCCTCTACATTATAGGGTTTTATTTCTGTGATTTCAGTAAAATAGAGTTTAGGAAAAAAAAAGCATCTATTTTTAGGGCCTGGGATGTAGCTCTGCAGTGCTGCCCCTGCCTGCCAAGCACAAGGTCCTGAGTCTGATCTCCAGTATCAAAAAATGAAAGAGAGATGTATTTTTAAAGAATGTAAGTTAAATATATGTTTAAAATTATTTTATGCTCCCCAAAAGATTAAGAATAATAGAAGCTTAAGTCTTCATGAAAAATAAGAAATATGCCAAAAAAAAAGGCCAGAAAGACACAAAATAATGCACATTTTCTAGGAATTTGCTAAGGATGATGTGTGAAAAGATAGAAATATGTTTACACAATATTTTGTAAGATATAACTACAACATCCATCATATAAATTCCATTTTGTTTTTTAAAAGTTAGTGGTAATATCAGAAAAATAACCTCTATACAGATTGGTAAGTATGTGCAAGTGTATTAACATTCCATGCCTATGACAGAATATGTGGAAAAATCAAAAGGATTATTAGGCTTACAGTTTCAGAAATTTCTACCCATGGTCACTTGGCTCCACTGTTTATGGTCCGATGGTGAAGCAGCACATCATGTGGGGAGCATATGGTGTGACAAAACTGCTCACCTCACAGCAGCAATCAGAGATCAGAGAGAGAGAGGAAGGGGCCAGGGACAAAATATATCCTTCAAGGACATGCCACTAGTGACTGACTTCCTCCAACTGGCTTTCTCCCATAGTGTCTGCTACATTGCAGTAGCACCATCAGCTGGGAGCCAAGCTTTCAACACATGAGTTTTCAGGGACATTTAAGATCCAATCTGTAACAGCCACTTTAGGGCTTGGTCTGTAGAAAAGAAAACACTAGCATAGTGCTAATAACATATAGTAGTTATCACTAATGAATTATACATATATAAATGATAATTTGAGTACATATGTGACTAATTTATGACTTATTCTAAAAAGCCTTTGAGATGTAAAGCAAATGCCTTTCTCACATTGTTGGTTGACACAGTAGAAAACAAAATTGGCAACTTCTTTTAAAATTAAATACATACTTAACATATAACCTACCAATTCCACCCCAAAATATTTGGCACAGAAAGGAATACATATACTTACCCAGAACCTGGGTAAATATAAATATGAATATTTATAGCAGCTTTATTCAGACTAGCCTAATGTTCATCAATAAATAATTAAATACACAAATCACACCCATATAATAGAACACTACTCAGCATTAAGGAACAAACTACTAATAAGTATAACAGGATGAGTGCATGTAAAACAAAAAGTATGATTCCATTTATATGAAATTCTAGAAAAAGACAACATGCTATGTTAAAGCAGATCCTTGGTTCTGGAAGCCAGAAGAAAGTGAGGAATTGAGTGCAAAAAAAAATTTTTTTTAAATAGAATTATCTGGAGTCCTGGAAGTGTTTCACATCTTGATTAGAGTGGTGTTTACATGGGTATATTAATTGTCAAAACTCATCAAGATTGGGCCGGAGATTTAGCTCAGTGGTGCCCCCACCTGCCTTGTAAGCACAAGGTCCCGAGTTCGATCCCCAGTACAAAAAAAAAAAAAAATTAAGATTATATACTTTAAAGGTGCATTTTGGTGTATGTAAATTGTACCCTAGATAATCCTTTTGATAAAGTTCCATACCAAAACTTGGCAAATATAGCTACTAAAATATTTTGTCTTATATGCAAAAATTATTTCAAAGACCAAAAACAGCAAAAAGAATCCTAAATAAAGTCATAAAAAATGAGACCCCACAAAACTTAGGTTTATAAATACTTAACATCTTTAGAAACATCTTGGTATCCTAGAGAAAGTGTATATATAAATTTTAAGATGGGAAAACTTCAGGAAAGAACACAATCTGTGATTGCATTAACATAGCAGATGAGATTCTTATGGTTTTAACTGAATATTTTCTCTGCTGTGACCAGGATTTGTAACTATTTAATTAATTTTAACAGTCTGTTAAACTAAGGAATCGTTTTTTAAAATAAAGACATCTATATAACAAATATTTTAAGTAACTTAAATACATACTCATTTTAAAACTAAGGCCTTTGCTCCAAGTTGGAAAAACTGATGAAAATTCCTTGCTATTATTTTTATGCAAGTATACCCATAATGTATCATCTGCAGATTCTAGTTTCATTTTCTTTGAAGTGCAGCAAATATGTAACTACTTGGAAAACAGTGAATGTAGAATCCTTCTAGATCTTGGATTTTTCCAGCCTTTGCTTTTTATCCTAGTTAGAAGCAAAATTTTTAGCAGTTTGCCTTTATCATACAACTGTAAAACATACAACTCATTTTTAAATAGAAACAGCTCTCTTTAGACTTATTTTTCAATGGGATAGTAATTGTATCATTTCAGACTGGACCTTAAATAGACAGGAAAAGAGCAAATAAAAAGAGAAAGAGTTCTAATATTTAACAATTGATAAAGCAGGAACTCAGTGCAATTTCCTGCATGCTGCCCAGTTTCTAGTGGAGCTTTGCTTAATGCTTTTGTTTTAGGCTCTTCTGGTTTATAAAACAAACCCATGTATTGTTGAAGCTTTGTTCTCAACCAGACCAAAAAAGAACAATGTCCCTGGTATCCCTAGCTAGTTACCATCTGGCTCCAGCTTTCTTGGTGTTTCCAGAAAACCTTGTTACTTCACAAAATTGTTTAATAAAGTCAGTTATTATTTTAACAAGTACAATAAGGATAATTGGTTTGCAAACATACAAGATTTACAACAACTATTAGGCTCAACTGCTGAGCCAGAAGGTACAATCCTGCCTGAGATTGGCCAGTGGTTTCAAATACATTTGCCATGCACATCTGTCTTTAAGTTCTACTAGGAATAAGGAGCATTGGTTAATCTGATGAATTGGTTATGAGTAGGCCAGTTGTATTTAAGGAAAAGGAATCTAGTCTACAACTTTAGGAAGGCAGATCACAGAATATAGAATAATGAAGAAGGAAGTGAATTTAGGCATAGTCACAGACTGTCCCCAAAAACTCAGTCAAGTATATTGCTATAAAATTCTAGTCCTACAGAGACAGAAAAAAACCTCACACCAAACCATATACCTTTGAACTTTTATATGTATTTCTAACTGGGCTCACTTCATGAAGCACTTAGAAAAAGTTCAAAAAAGAGCAACTGAAATAATTGAGGTGGAGAAGGTGAGAACCTATCCTAAGTATTGACCAGTCCAATTATTTAAATATAAGATGACCAAAAATTGTATATTTTTGTTAATTTTTATAATATAAGAGAAAATATAAAAATGATAGTTTTATCAAATGTATTCAGTATAAGTATCAACTGGTAGCACTCACTTCAACAGTACAAATACTGAAATTGGAAGAATTGACTGGTTAAAATGACACCCGCCCAAGCTGTGCTTGGGAAAATCAGTACTTAAACACACTGCCTGAGTAACACTTGTAAACTGTTAAATGATTAAAAATAGGACTCATGGACTATGAGCAAATACTTTGAGAATTTATAAGCAAAGTACAGAAAGCTACAAATAAGACCACAGTATTCAAAATGCAGCAAAGAAGACATATGGGTGGAATCTGTCAAATTTTAGCATTGTGAAGGTAATGAGCAATTCTTACTTAATTGGTAGTATCAGATTATGAAATGTTTCACATGAAGGAATTTTCCAATTACCTGAGGCTTACTGTCTTAGCACGATTAAATTTTTTACCATGACTTTTTTTGCGGGGGCGGGTACTGGGGATCAAATTCAGGCCCTTGTGCTTGTGAGGCAGGCGCCAGAACCACTGATCCAAATCCCCGGCCCTAACATAACTTTTTGTGATGTCTGCCACAAATATATATGCATTTTCCCTATCTTTGCACACTAATTATAATAGACAGAATTTATCCTTTTCTTGATAGCTTAAGATCAGCCTTATGAAGACAATTTCATAGTAATTAACTAGTTAGACTTTCAGAATGTATTAAGACTATAACAGCACCAGCAGTGTTACCACATGCCTGTAATCTCACCTTTGAGAGGCTGAGGCAGAAAGAATACAATTTCAAGACGAGCCTGGACTACACAGTAGAAAGACCCTATATCAAAACAAAAACAAAACACTTCCCCCACCCCTCAAAAAAAAAATAACTAGGGGATTACTTACTCTTCAACTGAATGGCTTTAGACTGTGCCTTTAATTTCTATTTCTGGTTTTCTTTTCTCCTCCTCACTGTTAGGATATTACCTGCCATGTTTCAGTGGTATCAGTGTAAAAGAACAGCTCAGCTCCCTGTCAGTTCTAGTCATCATCTATTTTTTTTCTTCCAGTCTTCAGTGTACTACAAAATAGATTTTAAAAACTCATTAAAGTTATATGTGAAACACAGAGTCTGTACTCACACCCCATCTAGTATAGTAGCTGTTAGTCACATTTAGCTCTTGAGCAGCTGGAATATGGTAAGTGTGGCTAAGAAAGTTGAATTTTTAGTTTTGATTACAATATAAATTGAAAAAACCTATATTTACTTCAAGTACTGGAAAACTTTTATGTATGTTTGAAACAACTTGAGTGTATGAATCTACTTTTCCAATTATAAATTTTATGAAATCTAATACAAATCAAGTATTTCCAGTGAAATGTTACCATCTGAATTAAGATGTCCTATAAATTTCAAATATAAATTGGGTTTGGAGAAAGAAAAGGAATATAAAATACCTTAATTTTTATATTAAATACTTGATGAAGTAATCTAGATA